TGGGGGGGTGATGGGGGGGGTCCTGCTGCTCCCCCCCGCCGGGGGTTCTCTCTCTCATAATGAGACGTCACGGGGCCGTTCGGCCTCTTTGTGCCCCCCCCTTTTACCAATAAAACGAGGTCACCCCGGGCTGTGTCTGTGTCCCCCCCCTACCCCCCAAAACTGCGGGAAGGGGCGGGGGGTGGGCGCGGGGCTCGGCCAATGGTGGCGCGGGGAACGCGGAGCCCCCGGGACCCCCGGAGGGACCGGGACCACCGGGACTGCCCCAGCCCTCGGGGACAGCGGAGCCCCCGGGACCCCCGGGCGGGCCGGGAACACCGGAACCGCCCCAACCCTCGGGAACAGCGGTGCCACCGGGACACTGGGACGGACCGGGAACACCGGGACCGCCCGAACCCTCAGGGACAGCGGAGCCCCCGGGACCACCGGGACCGCCCCAACCCTCAGGGACAGCGGAGCCACCGGGACCGCCCCAACCCTCGGGGACAGCGGAGCCCACGGAGCCCCCGGGACCCCCGGATCCGCTGGTACCCACGGGACCCTGCAGGGCCCCCAAACCAGCCAGGACGCAGGGACCGACAGAGACCCCCGGGCTGAGGCGGGACCCCCGACCCTCGGCACCCCCCACGCGGGGCTGAGGGCGATCCAGGGGTCGGGGGGGTGGGGTTACCGCTGTCCCCCCTCGCTGAAAGCACAGGTTCAGCGTCAGCCGCCCGCGCCCCCCTGGATCTGGGGTGCCAGCCCCCCTCGGGGTGTGTCCCCCCGCTTCCGTGGGTCCTGTCCTGCCCCCGCCGCCCGCGGGCTCCCCCCCGGCTGCCCCAGCCGGTGGCGGATCGAGGAGGGGTGACGGGGGGTGTCCCCACTGCCCCCCACATCCACCAGCCGGGTGCCCCCACGCTGCCCACGCGCGGCTGCCCTCCCACGGGGGCATCTTGGTGGGCTCCATCACCACCGTCCTCCTCCTCCACGGCCTCCTGCTGTCCCAGCTGGGACCCCCGGCTGCCCCCCGGGACCCCCTCATCCCATCCCCCGTGCTGCTGCCAGGGCGGGGGGCGCTGGGTGGGGACACGGGGGACTCGGGTGGGGTGGGGCTGGCAGGAGGGCGTGGGGGGGGGGCTTCACTCCCTGGGGACGGTGTCCCCGCCCTGACAGTGACCGCGTGGGGACATCGCGGCTCCGCTCCGTGCTCCGTGGTCCCTCCTCCCGCGGGCGAGGACGCGGGGGTGGCTGCGGGTGCTGTGCCGGGTGATGCCAGCGCCCCAAAACCTGCGGAGCGAGGCCCGGCCCGGCTCGTCAGCTCCGAGCCCGCCCCGCTCTTCCCGGCCCGGGACCCCGCAGCTGCGGTGGTCCCCGAGCCGGCGGCAGCGGAGGGACCGCGGGGCTGGGGGCTTGGCTGGGGACCCCTCCGGGACCCGCCGGGTGGGGCTGGGGGCGGGCACGGGCCGGAGGGGCCGATTTGGGTGTGTCCGCCCCGCTCCTTGTCCCCGCACACCCCCCGCCCCTCCCCGGGTCCCCCCCCCCCCCCCCCCCCCCCCCCCCGCCCCCCCCCCCCCCCCCCCCCCCCCCCCCGCCCCCTCCCGGTGTCCCCGCACACCCCCCCAGCCCCTCCCGGTGTCCCCGCACACCCCCCGCCCCTCCCGGTGTCCCCGCACACCCCCCATCCCCTCCCGGTGTCCCCGCACACCCCCCCATCCCCTCCCGGTGTGCCCGCACACCCCCCGCCCCTCCCGGTGTCCCCGCACACCCCCCCTCCCCTCCCGGTGTCCCCGCACACCCCCCCATCCCCTCCCGGTGTGCCCGCACACCCCCCGCCCCTCCCGGTGTCCCCGCACACCCCCCGCCCCTCCCGGTGTCCCCGCACACCCCCCGCCCCTCCCGGTGTCCCCGCCACCTCTCCCGGCACCGGGCGGGGTTGGCTCCGCCCATTCCATCAGGCCACGCCCACATCGTGACACGCCCTTCTAAGCCACGCCCACGCAGCAAACCCCGCCCATTGTGCCGCCGGTGTGGCCCCACCCACCTCATTTGCATCGAAGCCACGCCTACCTATCAAGCCGCTCCCTTTGGGCGTGTATTGAGTCATTAGCCACGCCCCCTTGTTTACATACGAGCGTTCTCGCATCAAATCACCGCCCTCTCAGGCCACGCCCATCTCATTACTATTCAAGCCCCGCCTCCAGATCAGATGGTCACGCCCCCGCCCCCGGTTCCGGTCAGTGCGGGGGGGCCCGGTGACCGGCGGGGCGCGGGCCGGGACAGCGGCCGCTCCCCGGTGCCCCTCGGTGTCCCCCGTGCCCCTCCGTGTCCCCGGTGCCCCTCTGTGTCCCCTGTGCCACCCATGTCCCGTGTGCCATGTCACTGTGCCCCTCTGTGTCCCCTGTGCCATGTCCCCTGTGCCCCTCGATGTCCCCCATGCCCTCCGTGTCCGCTGTGCCCCGTGTCCCTGCCACTCCCGTGTCCCCTGTGCCCTCCATGTCCCCTGTGTCACCTGTGCCCCTGCCATGTCCCCTGTGCCCATTTGTGACCCCTGTGCCATGTCCCCTGTGCCCTTCTGTGTCCCCTGTGCTCCTCTGTGTCCCCTGTGCCATCCATGTCCCCTGTGTCATGTACCCTGTGCCATCCGTGTCCCCTGTGTCCCCCGTGCTCCTGCCATGTCCCCTGTGCCAGGTCCCTTGTGCCCCTCTGTGTCCTCTGTGCCATGTCCCCCATGCCCCTCTGTGTCCCCTGTGCCTCCCCGTGCCCCTTGTGCCCTCCATGTCCCCTGTGTCCCCTGTGCCCCTCTGTGCCATCCATGTCCCCTGTGCCATGTCCCCTGTGCTCCTCAGTGTCCCCTGTGCCCCTCTGTGTCCCCTGTGCCATGTCCCCTGTGCCCCTCCATGTCCCCGTGCCCCTCTGTGTCCCCTGTGTCCCCGGTGCCCCTCAGTGTCCCTCTGTGCCATCCATGTCCCCTGTGCCCTCCATGTCCGCTGTACCCCCTGTGTTCCTGGCACTCCCGTGCCCCCTGTGCCCCTCTGTGCCATCCATGTGCCCTGTGCCATGTCCCCTGTGCCCTCTGTGTCCCCTGTGCCATGTCCGCTGTACCCCCTGTGTTCCTGGCACTCCCGTGCCCCCCGTGCCCGGCGGGAAGGACGAGCCGGGTCACAGCACCAGTGTCCGACATTGTCACGTACTTACAGTCACACCCGCGAGATGGAAACGCTGTACACGGCCCGGACCCCCGGGCGACCCCCGGGGCTGGGCCCCCCCCACCGACCCC